AAAAAAAAAAAAATTGCACCTTGCAAGAAAATTAGAAATAAAAAAAAAAATGAAAAAACTAAATACAGGTAATGAGCAACTTAAATATAAGTAATAGATATGGAAAGCTGGCCATTTTGTTTTAGTCTAAGTAATGGAGTGTACTATCTAATTTGCAGGTGGAAAAAACTTGAAGTTATACAACAGAAGATCTACAATAACCAGAAAGTTCAAAGATTGTAGCTACCTGTAACACTCTTGTCCATTAGGAAAGAATCCGCAGTGGCACTGACTCTTCCTTCTATGGACATCAAAAAGTACTGAAAATATTATGAACAGTTAGGAGAAACTCAAGAGACAGCCAAGGAGGCTGAACCAGTCCCACTAGATGGCACCATCACAGGGAAGCCACTCTTCTCTCATTTGGAGCTGCAGGGGCTGAAACCTTTTTTGATCTTTGAAAAACTGAATGCTGTCATCAACAGAATGATATTCTCATTGGGAAATAATGATCCGAAATGAGAATTCAAAGCCAGGAAGAGGAGTTTTTCCAAAAGCACCCTTTTCTCCCAGTATCATTATACCCTCCACATCCCCATTTCAAATCAATAGTCTGAGAGGTACAATGTCTTACTGTTAAAAACAAGTCATACAAAATGGAGATTTTCCCAGCTCTGCAAACTACAGAATAATTCACTTTTTTCTTCAAGTTTCTTTGTTATTGGAAAAAAAATACTCTCCTGCTAGTCCTCAAATAACAAATTAATTGTAATCAGTATATTTATCATGTCTGGAAATATCAAAGTAACATACAACTAATGGCATAAAAACTGGAAAAAAAAAGGGAAAAAAAAGGAAAATAAATAAATAAATAAATAAAACAACTGGAAATAAAGCTGGGCATGGTGGCTCACACCTGTTATCCCAGCACTTCAGGAGGCCAACCAAGGTGGGTGGATCATTTGGGGTCAGGAGTTCAGGGCTAGCCTGGCCAACATAGTAAAACCCCATCTCTACTAAAAATAAAAAAATTAGCAGGGCGGTAGTGGCGAGCACCTGTAAACCCAGCCACCTGGGAAGCTGAGGCAGGAGAACCACTTGAGACTGGGAGGCGGAGGTTAAGGTGAGCCGAGATCACACCACTGCACTCCAGCCTGGGCTAGAGAGTAAGACCCTCTCAAAAACAAACAAACAAAAAAACTGGAAGTAGGTAAATTTCTTTTTCTGTACAGATAACTCTCTATGTTAAAAGTATAATTTCCTATTAAACAGATTGGTTACTGTATTAAAGTTTTCTGACACCTTAGTCACATGATTTTAAGTTGCGTCTAGACAGCAACATTTTGAATGTCACTCATTCCTATGACTTATGCTCTACTCCATCAAAAGTATACTTGGATACAGCCATTATGAACCTAAAAACAGAATAACAACAACCCCAATAACAAAGATCAGTAAGCTTAAACTATGCACAATTTGAATACAATCTTACTGACTTATGGGGTGGGAGGCAGGTGACATTTAAACAGACAGATCTGGGTATTAGCTTTATGCTCAATCTTCAAGTTAAAAGACACATCAGAGGTCATTTAGACATCAATTTAGTACTCACATATATTGCTCACTTCTACTTGAAGCTACTTCACCTAGATCAGAGAGTTTACATTTGTACATGTAACTTCAATATACAACGTCCAGGAGTACAGCCACTTTAAAGTGCCACAAAAGTAAATTAAGTGGCCAAAGAAATTGAGAATTAATATGTAACAAATCCTGTGTTCCCACAGCACCTTGTCACAGCTCTAATACAGATCTCATCACAGTATCATCTCTCTGCATACTGCAGGTGTGGAGGCCCTGTGTTCAAGCATCAACCCTAACACCTTGCACAATGCCTAGCATAGAGTAGGTGCTCAGTATTTGCTGAATAAACAAAAACTATAAAGCTGGCTGGGCATGGTGGCTCACGCCTGTAATTCCAACTCTGTGGGAGTACGAGGCGGGCAGATCATGTGAGGTCAGGAGTTCAAGACCCAGACTGGCCAACATGGTGAAACCCACCCCCACTAAAAATATAAAAAATTAGCCAGGCGTGGTGGTGCATCCCTGTAATCAAAGCTACTCGGGAGGCTGAGGCAGAAGAATCACTTGACCCAGGAGGCAGAGGCTGCAGGGAGATGAGATCAAGATCGCATCACTGCACTCCAGCCTGGG